AATATTCATCTTCTTTAAAAAAAGAAAATACAGCAAAAACATTGAATGATCCATGTATCATATTTCTCAAAAATAACAGAATGCAAGCGTTAATTTTCCTACAACCTATGGTATTCCTGACTTAAATTTCTATATGTTTAAACCACAAAGAGAAGATATATTACACAAACTTTATTGCACACAATTATGAAGGCAGTGCATTTATGTCAAATTAACCCACTACAGCTGGTTAAACCATTCTCCATCCAAGATGTTTTTGAATTGCAATCTAAACAGGAGACCATCAACATGTCAGCAGTTGTTTGATAGCTGGAGGGATTCTCCGGTGCCTGCACACCTGCTGCTAAGTAATCTATATGCACATCTTTAATAGGAAATCCATGTGTATCTGACATACTTCCGAGTAAAATTCACTTCCATCTTTACCGTTCTGATGTTGATGCAGAAATGTGCAAAAATTACAACCATGATGCTTTAAACACAAATAAAATGTATCTATACCTATAAATAAAAAATAATATCTGATGCATGTGCTTTTTATCTGCAACCGTCTTTCATTTTAAGTTTAGTTGTTTTGACAATTTAAAATATGTCTGCGATAAAAGAGTCCATCAAAATTTTAAGAGGTGCAAATTAAAAGTTTCAAAAGGAAAAATAATCTGAGAAAAAACTTTGATGTACAAAATTAGTCTGATACTTGTAAGATTTCAAGTTCATATCCCACTGCTTTTTAAAAAGTTTGTGATTTCGAGTTCATTCATCCCACCGCTTTTATAAATTTCTGGAATCTTTGGTTCAGTTGTCTATAGCAACACATGATATGAAAACAGAAAGCTATTGGTCAGCTCACACTTATATTAGGTGTGAAAAGTTAAACATCAAAAACTTACACATGAGGCGAGGAGAAGTTAATACTAAAAACAAAAGTTCATCCCTCGAAACAGTGCTGTTATAGACTTTGGCACTTCCCATAATCTATCCGATAAAAACAAACTTTAGGGAAATGAATCTCTACACAACGTTTCTACAGCAGGGGTCCAAACTTGTGATCCTAGAGACCTTTCATAAAGCCATCAAATTTTGTTTGAGTGAAAACTGAGTGAAACACTTCTCACGACCAGACAATTACAAAGGGCTTTCAGCTATCCTCACCGTGTTCTGTTGGTTAAATCAAATCATATACGTCATCAAATCACATTTTCCCATCAACAACATTACGTTAATGACTGCTTGATTTGTTTTTAAACCAAGACATCTAATGAAGATATATTCAAACTAAATCATATTCAACAATGTCTGTAGCAGTAGTTTAACCGACTTGTGACAGAAGTATCACATCAATGAAGTCAAATAAATCTATACTTTAGTTTCTCGGTAATGGCCGATATAAAGTAGGTTACAGGCTAACATTTTATCTTCAATAATTGTTCTACATAAGTAATACAGAGCCTATATTACTAACACATAGTGCCTGTCCAAAGGTATATAAACCTTTGTACGTGTACCTAAGACAGGAAGTGTAAATGTGAGATAGGAAGGGTTATGACATACCTGTACTGTGATCTATGTAATAAGGAAGAGTTAGGTCTACCACAAACTGCTATCCCACCATATTCTTATATGAAGAAAACTCAACACTTCAATAAATTGAAATGATTTAATGCAACCTAGCAATATAATTTATCGTTACCTAGCAACATAATGTATTCTTATACAAATAACACAAAGTCCAAGTAAGATCAAGATTGCATTGTTCGTTTCATTTGTTTCAACTTCAAAAGCTACTATATATATATTTACTAAAAAAGTTATAATCTTTGGCAATCTTAGGGGCTACTCTGCATGTTTGTTTCGATTCTAGAAAGACAGTTTCTAGATGAATGAAATTTTTATAGTAGACATGGACACTGGGGGAAGCCCAGTATGTCTATGATTGTATGAAGTACCTGTGGACAGGTGAGCCTGACAGGTATATATATGATAAGATTAATATTGGTTACTTAATACAATAAGTATAAATATGAAAAGTGTAACTGTAATCACTATATCTGAATTGGGATAAAAAATCAAAAATGTTGAATTTATAAGGCCATTGCATGTATTGTAATTAACGTAGTGACAGGTACATACATACCAATACATTACATCAACTTCATTACTTTACATAGTCATCAAACAATGTATTTCCCTCCATACCATATATATATACGTACCACAATATAGTCCCACTTAACACTAACAATATAGATATTATGTAATGTTATCCTACATCTTTCCTATTTCTTACATAAAGTATATAGTGCTCGTACAGGTCCACTAGTGTGGCCCATGATTTACCCTCGATGCAAACTTCCGACTCATCCTCACAAACTGATAGCCACATGTCACTTATGAGAAAACTTGACTACCGCATAGATATATTGTCTTTGGTCTACAACCACAATATTTTCATTTTCATATATTTACAAATATCTATTTTTGTAAGTGAACACTCTGTAATACACAAACTGTGTATATCAGCCTCTACAGTCTAGTCATGCCATACTAAATTTTTCATTTTTAGAGGATTTTTTTACTAGTACAGAGATTCTAGAACAAATTTAATGTTGTTAACTTGATTCCAAATTTAAATTAAAATTGTGACATGCTGGCAGGTTTATATATCGCCATCATTGTGTTATCAACCATCTATGTTGGTGTATTCTGTGTCCATCCCTTACAATGTATGTATTTATAGTGGATTTGGAATTTGTCTATCTTGCCGATCTTTGTGGCGATATACACCATGTACATCGTTTTTGTAGTGGTAATATTCTGAGGGATATTCATAATGCCCATTTAGACTCATCACACGAGGATGACACACGAACCTAGAATGTGGTTATGTAACTCGAAATCCATAAAAATGGATGTGATGTTTGCAAAAATTATCGACTTCAAGCAATTTCATACTGAAACTCTCTGAATGTAGATTTAGTGGAGAAATGTATGGAGGAAGGGGTATTATTACATATGTCTAGTGTGTTACAGCTGGAGGATACCTATATTGGTATGGAGAAATGTATGGTCAGGACTAAGGGGTAATATTACATATGTCTAGTCCAAAACGGAGGATTGACCACTTTCACCAACTAATGACCTGTCCATTTTGTAACCAGTAAAACTGTAGGTGGGGTGTTGGCATTTGACCTTGCACTATAGTACATCTCTTTTGTTGTTTGAGCATGAAAGACTGCATGAACAGTGCATTGGTCAAAAATGACCTCATAAGCAATGGTTTCCAAGCTGACCATTATTTTCATGTAAAATATTTCAAATGAAGATCAGGACTAGTTTAATTGAAAGCTGTATCCATTCACAGGGGTGGTAATCAGGTGGTGCAGTGGAGGGATGCACACTTGCCAGCTGTCACCAAGGTGATTCCCTGATCTGAAGTGAAAAAGTATGGGGTCACCTGCCCAACCACGTGGGTTTTCTCTGGGTATTGACTCTGCTTTCCTCCCACACTAAGACCCTGGCGTGGGTTTTCTCTGGGTAGTGACTCCGCTTTCCTCCCACACTAAGACCCTGGCAAGCTATCATCTGGCCCAACAACAGTGATTAATATCAGTTGAGATCATAATTGTTGTAAAATAAATAAAGTTTATATCTCAACCTCATTGCCAATATATCATCATTATACATAGAATTTTTACATCTCAATACAAATTACAACATTTACACAAAGGTGGTGCAGGTACACTATATATGGAAATGTCTGCCGTATACAGACAGCGTTGGAACCCTGGTGTGCTGGTACATGTAGACGTGGGTTCAGCTTGAAAATAAACAAAGCTTATGTAATTGTAAAACCAGTGTGAATACCCCAGTTAGTCTAAATCTCTGTCTAAATAAACAACATCCAATATACTGTTAGTTCTGTGTATATGATATTGAGGATATGAAAAGCTTGATGTCCTTTTGAAATGTCAGTTGACACATTTAAAAGCAAACTTTTAATTATTTCTATCTATCATTGACTCATGAGTCAACTTTTTCTGCTTTTAACCTTAAAATTGTTTACTTGAGTAAAAGTTTACAAAGAATGTCTAGCTCATGTCCTTTCTCAGCAGCAGACCAAAACGCAATGGGGATATTTGATAAACTCTACTGGAACAGTAAGGACTTCCTCTATGACCTGGCCCAGCTCACTTCAGAATTAAACCCAGTTGGCAAGACTAAATCCCTACTTGTATATGTCTGAGAATCCATGTATATCTTCAATTACACAAACATCAGCTATTTTTCCCACTTGGAATATATAATTGTATGTGATTGTGGCAACCATAGGCAACCATATGTGTACTGCTCCCTCTCCATGTGCAGGTGGCTCCACCTATTGACTCGATACATAATAAGTAAGGTAGAAAGGTCTACCTATAAAAGATTATGTAACGTATACTTGTAGATTTAACAGATTGTAGTTCAGCCAAATACTTCAGTAAGACATGTAATACTACAACCAATGGTCCGAACATGTAATACTACAACCAATGGTCGGTTAGTCTTGTGAACAAGAACCTGTAATACTACAACCAATGGTCCGTTAGTCTTGTGAACAAGAACATGTAATATTACAACCAATGGTCTGTTAGTCTTGTGAACAAGAACATTTGATACTACAACCAATGGCCTGTTTGTCTTCTGAGCAATATTGATAATTTTATGACACATATTTAGAGCTTGATTCGGTTGACGAAAAATAATTTAAATAAATCACTGATCATGACTATTCTGTAATATATAAAATCTTAAAAATGTATAACACTATTTTGTTTTGCAAAATAATAATCTTCTAATTTTGTATAATGTTTTGTTTGATACACTTTTTCCTGTTTAAATAATTTCCAATGTATTGCTGTTATCTTTTTCAGATTAAAGCATCATATTGGACATGTCTACTCTTTTAAATAATAACTACTTATTTCCTTGACTGACTCTGATGTTTTTGTCTTCCACAGACTGCCTAGATGTCCTGAATCGGGGTCATACGACTAGTGGTGTATACTATGTAACACCAACATACTCGTCCTGCTCAATTCCTGTCTGGTGTGACATGGAAACGCCCCCTGGTGGCTGGTTACTGATACAAAAGCGAACAAACGGTGCGGTTGACTTTGATCGATTTTGGAATGAATACAAAGACGGATTTGGTAATGTTGTGTCTGAATTCTGGATAGGACTGGACAACATGTTTCTGTTGTCTAATCAGGATCATTACGAGCTTCGTGTAGATTTGTGGGATTTCGATGACAACCGTGTGCATGCTCTATATAAAGATTTCAAAATTGATGGGGAACGCGACAAATACAAACTGCATGTTGGACATTATGAAGGAAGTGCTCACGACAGTTTTGAAATGCATAAGGGTATGAAGTTTAGTACCCCAGACCAGGACAATGATAACTGGAATAACTATCACTGTGCCCGGGAGTGGTCGTCGGGATGGTGGTATAATAACTGTTGGTCCGCATTACTCAACGGACAATATCACAATCGATCCGACGTTAAATTTAGGGGAATAACCTGGAATGATTGGAAACATGAACAACTCGCCCGAACGGAAATGAAAATTCGTCCTAGCAGACTTTACCACAACAATACCGTGCCACATAAGAAATAAAAGGTGTTGGATAGGGACAAGGACAGTCAGTATTCTCAGTGGGAACATCTGTTGTCCTGATCAAATGTTTCAATCAAGTGTCTTTATGACAATGACCAAAATCTTGGGCAGCAAAACACTTGATTTGAATGGCAACAGAAGAGTCGTACTGCATGATTGACACAACATCAGCCAAGCTTTTCCACAACCAATTGTGCACAGTCATGCACACAAAAGTTTGCACACAGCAAAATGTTACTCTTATCCAGTGCTTGTTATGGTCCCTGCGTGACGAACAAGATGGTGTATTATAAAAAAGACTGAAACAGATGATATGAGAAGATTTGTGTCTATTAACTAATATGTACATTATTGTTGGGCTTAGGGCTATTGCAGCTGTGATACCTGAACTAATTAGAAGGGTTGACGTGGGATATTCTGGGTACTGGAGTTTCAATGATGGCCAAAGACATCTCAGCTCAAGTTTGTTCCCAGTATATTCCCGAACCTCCCTCCGAAAACCACTGATACTCTGACAAAGGTCAGGCTGTAGTAGCCACTGGAGTATTACGCTTGGGGGAGTAACGAATTATATAAAACGAATTGTATTAGAATGAAGCAACTAGCCAAATGGACCATGACATATGTCTGCTTCCTTCTACAGCTCCTTTTACTCAAGATAAAAACTGTGGTGATATTACAACATGACGGAAAAAATGGTGCCATGTACAATATTTTGATACAATTTGTACGATTTAATATATACGATTAAAGGCCAGTATTATAAGTCAAGGGCAATCACACATATGTATGCATGGCTGAGTGAGCATTTGTTATTATTATTCCAGCATCATCGCTTTATAAATGTTCATGAGCATTGCTTCATGAATATTCATGACACTCAATTTTTTTATTGGTACAGTCTTTAGATATCAATGTACAGGCTAGGCTTTTTCCCTTCTTAACTGGCTAAGGTATTAAGCCTGAAAAATAATATGCAGAAAATATGGATGAAAGTGAGAGGTGCGAAGGTCATTGTGATATACAGAGAGGATTGATCACTTTTATTATTTAGTGAAAATGCAGTATAATGTATCGTTATACTATTTATAGGCTAATATCTTTATAATTCCAACAATAAATACATATAATGTGTTTATTTAAAAAAAGGCATTCAATGTTTTGTATATGAAATAATATTTGTCATTTACCATGTCCGCTACAGGGCATCATCATGTGTTGAAAATCAAAATTCACTTTATATAAATAAGTTTACCATGTATGCTTGATCGCCATCTTATCAAATGGCATAAATGTTTCAACATTTATGACTTAATTGAGTCTATTTCATTATTAGGATTCAAAAGAAAAGGTCAAGTCACAGGTTAGGACCTACCTGCCCTCTTTAAGGAGCTACATATATACAACCTTGTGTAAAATACTGTGCACATCCAGATAATGTAGCTAAGCCAAATGACACATTCAATGTGATAGGTATTTATGTAAGCAACAAGTGTATGACCGAGCTTGGCAGTATAAAGATGGGGCGAGATAAGACAAGTGAAATGACACGGTACTCATATCCAGGATATGTTTCTTGTATCCATAACAACTATATTTTGTCCAGAACTGTGTGTGTGAACTTATTCGTATCCAGGACAACTTATTCGTATCCAGGACAACTGATTCGTATCCAGGACAACCATTTTGTATCCATACCAGACAACTGATTCTTATCTAAAACAACTGTAAAACAGGGTTTAGATTTTTCCACTAACAAGGTATTGAAAGTGACACAAGTTTGAGCTACTGTATACAGTGATCCTTTGGATACATGTTCCCAAGGATACAACAACACCCTGGATACAATGACACCCTGGATACAGTGATGCCCTGGACACAATGACACATGATACAATGACACCCTGGATATTATGATACTGTGGAAACAATGGCATCATTGTTGTTCATTGAAAGTTAAGCATTAATTAACTAAAGAAGTGTACCATTGTATATCTTGTGTCCAAGTGGTCAAACAATATGAAAACCATGATATTTACATACGATTAATAACATTTAAAAGCCATTGTACCAGTAACTGCAAATGTGAATTATGTTTGGCCATGAATGACCTTGACAGGTGCCATATAAACATTTCCTATAGTACTAAGGAGCTCCAGTGTATACTGTGATACGTATAGGGCACGGTAGTGGTATGTGTACCTAATGGGAAAGGTCCTTATAAGAGAGGGACCTAACAGGACAGGTCCTTATAAGAGAGGTGCCTAATGGGATAGGTCTTTATTAGACAGGTTCCTAGCATGACAGGTCCTTATAAGAGAGGTACCTAATGGGATAGGTCCTTATTAGACAGGTTCCTAACATGACAGGTCCTTATAAGACAGGTATCTAACAGGACAGGTCCTTATGATACAGGTACCTAATGAGACAGGTCCTTATGAGACAGGTACCTAATGAGACAGGTCATTATAAGACAGGTACCTAATGAGACAGGTCATTATAAGACAGGTACCAGACAGGACAGGTACCTAACAGGACAGGTCCTTATTAAGACAAGGTACATAATAGGACAGGTACTTGGATGTATATGACCAGTACTGAATACTGTTAAACAGGTGCTTCTATACAAAACAACTAATTGTGTTTATGTGGGTCTGATAATGTTCCCAAGTGTCTTAATTATGTAAGTAAAATGTGCCATATATCTATCTGCCTTTGATCAATGTACGATATTGCCTGATCATGGTACCTCGCAATTGTTTTAATGTTCTCAACTGCTATTGTGTAATAAAAGATTTAAAACTTGTTAATTTGTTGTGGATGGATGACATTATGATCTTATATAGCCTTCAAGTGTTGAGCTACTATTATTACCTTCCTTCAGTTGTATTGAACAAATATTAATTCAATGTACAACACTAATAAGCCCACTAAAACAATTACAATTGGAATATATCTAAATTACAAAGATAGAAAATTTCTCAACAAGGTTAACAAAAAGCAACTATTTATGGTCATTCATTTGAACAATTTTGGAAGAGCTCCATCCCAAAATTACAAGCCAAGTATCAATACTTTATGCCCTATGAATTTACAAAGAAGAAATTGTTGAAAAAAAATGTTGACACAGGGACAGACACCAGACCTTTGTACGAGATAACAGGACCGTTATGGCTGGTGAACTAATCAGGGTAAAAGAAAATATTTTACCCAAATGTCACTGGTTGATATTGTAAAGTAGAATTAAGTAATCGCAAACCAATTAAAAGGCAATTCAACATAATACAATTCTAACACATTTTTAGGAACACTAGAAATAATTGTAATATGTCAGATGACAAGTGATAAGAAGAATGTCACTCTATATATATATAGGTTTACTGAACTTCCTGTTATTGACAGATGATACGTAGTATTACATTTACCAGTGATTTTTGCAGAAAAACATGTGTCCAGGAATCAAATATGTGTGTCCCAAAAATCACTGAGGTTCTATTAAAACGTCACAGATGTCAAATAAGTTCCGTGAAATACACAAAGCTGTCACATAAACTCACGGAAATACACAAGGCTATAAATGCCACATTTGTTTCATAACCATACAGGTACATATTTGTTACAACATTTTGCACCTGTAACTATATTTAAAATCAAGGTCTCAGGAATGCACTATAAAGTGTCTATTTTTAATAATTGTCACCTGACCTTTACTCCTAACACTCATTAATACATGTCTGATTGGTACGCCTGAAAGGACAGACGGGAAAACAACTTAAATTTCAGTAAGGCGTTCCTCTGTATAACGTGTCATTAAAGTACAGTATCGAAGGTACTCCCTCCTTAAGTGCACCAGTGTATCAGTATACACTGGGTACCTAGGTACACCCTCCTAGTGCTAAACCAAGGTAAGTAATATGTAACAAATATATGAAACAAGTTCTATTTCACAAACTTAAAGTTATTAATTGTAATACCAACTTCCATAATGTAATACCATATCTTTACTCCAAAATAAAATTAAAACCTGTCTATGGACCAAGAAGATTGAAAACCTTCTGGACAAACATGACGGGGGTGATCATAGAAGGAAGAAGTCATGTCAGAACCATTTCTTCTTATCTGGATTCCTGCTTTTCTTACCCTTCCATAGAACTATAATTGTCTAGATCTGGCCAAATACCAAACATGTATAGGCAGGGGGCCCAAAACTGCCAGGTTGCTGTGGCTGCTAGGAACAATTCATTCAAGTTTGGGCATGGTTACCTAGAGGCCAGGATAATGACAGACAGAATGATGACTCTGTCCTGAGGAGACAAGAAAACACAGGCGTCATAAGAAAAGAAAAACAACAAGGATGGCACGAAAGTGCAATCATCATCAATATACCCCAAATAAACAACCAAGTTAAAAGTTACAACATATTAACAAAAAGTAACAAATCTAAACTTTGAACAACAAACAAGATGTGATGACAAATAACAACAAACAACTATTGATAACGAAGGTAGTCAAATGACAACATTTTTCATTTAGACAAAGAGAAAAAGCCACAAATTTAAACAGGGCTAAAAACAACCCAAACAATAAGAAAGGTTAAGGAAGCAACTCCGACCAAACACGATTTTCAAAATAAACAACAACATCTAGCACAGAAATAGTCAGCATTGAGCACTACCTGTGCTCCGTCTGGTCACCATATAAAGAGGATGATAACAGTACATTTAAGATCATGTATGTAGGAAAGATTCCTTCAAGGTAGGTAGCTGGGACATGAAATTTTTTTCTGTTGTGATACAATGTTGGGGGCTAAGTATCAAAATGCATATTAAGGTCATGAAAATTATTATGAAATGAAATTTTACACTTTGCTTACCCTAAATATGCGCGTATAGTGCACACTTTTTTTCAGGAAATATTGTCATGTCAAAAAGGGGGTGCGCACTATACGCAGGAACAAGTCATTCTTGGGTTATCGTTCTCAAGTTTCAGGTTCGCCATATTGGATTACCTCCCTTTAAATAGTTTTGTTTGGAGTCGTCGGTCATATATGATAGATTGAAGATAACAAAAACAACATAATTTTTACCTACTCAAAAATGATTAAAATCGGTAATCTGTTGTCATGACTGCTGATTTGGCGACAAACACTAGCTGGGCACAGGTAACATTTTTACAGGTAAGTTGCTGGAGGGCATAACCACCGACCATCTAGCTAACACTCTATCAGTAATTACCGATTAACAATAGCTCTACTGCAATTTAATTGAAATTATTTGCTGTCCCGATTGAGGGATCGTGTTTTTTCACCCCTCAACATGTGCCGTGGCGTGAAGCCCTACTGCACTGTTAGAACTACAGGCTGATTTGACCGTAACAGGATTATATATATTTATACTAGAAGCGTGGACATTCAATACATCCCCTTCAAATCTACTTGAAAGGAAAACAAATAAAAGCAGAATACACTATTTTTATGATGTTTTATTTTAAAGTATTGAAATAATTCACGAGGTTATCAATCACTTGGTGTTGGACGCGACATCAACATGAAAGTGAGCCCAAAAAAAACTTGCACACTAGGATTAGCGATTTGGTAAAAAACACCAGAACAAACATGGAACAGAGCCTATAATTGAAACACTACATTTTTATTATAATGGGAAAACCGCTGTAATGTCGAAACATAAGTTGATCGGCGATTCTCTGGCATCAGAATTAGCTACACGTTCCGACTTAGTTTGGTTTTTGCAGGATTCGTCCATCATCCACTCTTTCCAAGCGGTATGGAGCGAGACCTTCATGGGTTTGTTCACTCCAATAAATCAATCGTTAATTAATCGGCGTCATAAAGACCAAGCTACCTTTGATTCTACTTTCCCAGTTTAATACCGATTACTTTCATCATTTTTTTCCCCAATAAAAAAAAATTCACTTTTTTTTTTCATTTTTTTTCTCTTTTTAAATCTGACCCCAAAAACGTACCTGTGCACTATACCTGCAAATTTACGGTATTAAAGCACATGGTTTCACATATTGTACATTAATCAATGAATGCATGCCCCTTTAAAAACTTCCATGACAAATATCAGCATACTTATTGTTTTCTTCTGAGTTTTTAATTCAGGGTTTAATATCCTTGTAAAAACAAAGGTTGTAGTCAGTACCCTAGTACAATTTGTGTGGTCGGTGGCTCAGTGGATAGCGCACTTCGTTTCCACCAAGACGGCTAGGGTTCAATTCCCCAATCTGCTTGAAAAGGTATTGGGTCACCTGCTGGACTACTTGGGTTTCCTCCGGGTACTCTGGTTTCCTCTGGTTACTCTGGTTTCCTTCGGGTACTCTGGTTTCCCCCGGGTACTCTGGTTTCCCCCGGGTACTCTGGTTTCCTCTGGGTACTCTGGTTTCCCCCGGGTACTCTGGTTTCCTCCGGGTACTCTGGTTTCCCCCGGGTACTCTGGTTTGCCCCGGGTACTCTGGTTTCCTGCGGGTACTCTGGTTTGCCCTGGGTACTCTGGTTTCCTCCGGGTGCTTTGGTTTCCCCCGGGTACTCTGGTTTCCTCCGGGTACTCTGGTTTCCCCCGGGTACTCTGGTTTCCCCCGAGTACTCTGGTTTCTTTCCACGTTAAGATCTCTTGCACACATTTGGACCAACAGGAGTGATTAAAATAAGTTGCATAACTTGTTTCATGATTGTTGTAAAATAAATACAGTTCATATCTTTAGTACAAATACAGAAAGATATTTTTATGAATGTCAATTGCAACACAAAAAGAAAACTTTCTCTTGGGAACGTTAATGCTGATGCTCACATGGTAACTGTACATAAGGCCCGATATCTTGAATAGGTGAGCTAAATATATCTCCCATTCCAATTCCATCTTACAACATTTTATAAACTTACTGCAACTCATTGCATACAAATGGTATGTAATATAAATGCATGTTAAATGCTCTATGTAAGTACAGCATGGCATGTTGTCGCAGCCAGGAGCTTCATACCAAAGTCCAACACTTCCCTCTACAATAGCAGGTCTCCTCTACCCTTAATCAAAGCACACAATTTTACAGCTTCTCAACATCTTGTTTATTCTTTCTCTAAGTGGCCTACCCACTTTCCTGCCTACATCAGGAGTATTGAATTAATTGTAGACCAGCATGCCTGCCTGGTATAGAATGAGTTCTATTACATCAGCAAGTTTCAAACTGAGGCTCAAGGTGAAGGCATCTGATAACTGATTCTCACTATACTTACTGCAGCCATTTCACCAATACAGATATTACTGATGATCATATGAGAAGTGTGAAATCATTAGCTCCATTAAAATCAGCCCATTGGAATGAGAACCAGGAGTGAATATCAAACGTTAACTCCTGGAGATGTTGTTACAATTAGGACAAAATATCGTAAATAAAGAAAAATAATGGCTTATTAACTATGGATTCATCGACAAAATGATGTAGGGGAGTGACCATCATAAATCATATATAGCTCGTAAATGTCAAACAGACGAAGCCTATATAAGTCTTCTCCAATCTCCAGCTTACAAGTTAAAAATTGATGATTATTATGTAAGTTACAATATGCCCTAAGCCTAATACATTGTATGACCCATGTCTGAAAATTGTTTGTTTTCTACTGTCTCACCCCTTTTTGTTAGTCTTAATTTTCATACCATCAAACTGCCATTACATGATTACAGTTCTAATCACGTTTGAATTATTTCTGATTAAAACTAGAAATATGTCGGAATGACATGAAAGTCACCCCATCATTCTCTATGATCATTTTCCGATAAATCATTGACC